TATATATATATACACACATAAGCTCGATACCATAGAGCCCCCCCCCCCACATAACAAATCCCAATTTAACCCCTGGTTACTCCCTAAAAAAAGTAACTAATGGAAAGTAATGCGTTACATTACTTTTGCATTACTTTTTCTCATCTGGGCTGGGCTTGCTAATTTGTTTTTAATATAAAAATTTCTATTTTTGGCAAATGTAAAGGCCCTTTCACACCAAAAGTGAAATGAATAAGCAGCCATTCTGGATTGCATGAAGCATAGAATGCAGGAGAAGAAAGTTCAACACTCTTCAGCAATAAAAAAAGAAAAGAAAAACAAATCAATAAAGTAATTTTTGCTTATTAATATGGTTGAATTGGATCATCGAAGTTCGGCAGCAAAGATATTGGTTAATAAAATGGTATTAAATGTATAACAGGTATTTGTGTTATTTAATAAATTTAATTATTGCAGGTTTGCATCGCACTGTTTTCATTCATTTTGAGGAATACTGAATCTGTTTTTGTGCAGGTGAGATGAGTAAATGCATGTTCAGATTAGTCTAGAACTACAGTAAGACCATGTTCACACAGCGCCTCTGCACTTACTCCTGATTTCTGTCACCATGGCAACACCAGAGCTGTCACTCAACACATGGGAAAACTTATTTGAAAAAGTAACTCAGATATTTTATTGTAAATTAAAAAGTAATACGTTACTTTACTAGTTAATTGAAAAAAGTAATCTGATTACGTAACTCGCGTTACTTGTAATGCGTTACCGCCAACACTGCACAACAGCAGGTAGATTTAGATACTAACCACTCTTTTACACTTGTACATGCCATGGGTAAACTTTCAAATTTCAACTGAATTGTTTCCTTCTGCACATAGCCAGGGTTTAAATGTCTATCTTTAAAGGCAAAGCAGCTGTTCATATTCAAATTCTAGCTCTGAATGAGTGTTTTTGCTTCTTCCTCTTGTTTTTTGCAGTCTCAGCACAAATGCATTGTGATCTTTGCGCTGGTGTGCTGCTGTGCTGTGCTGATAGCACTAATATTCTCTGCTGTAGATGTGTGGGGGGATGACGAGGACGATATCGCTGAAGGAAAATGTAGCAGTGCCTGCCGGTAAGCAAAACTCACCCGTCACACCTAACACGTGACAATAGACTCATTGTCTGAATAGCCTGAAATTAAGCGTATTGAACCAATTTAGTCTTGTTTTTTTATTCTGCTTTGAAGACTTTGCTTAACCTAATTATATCATTTTATTGATTCACAATATTATCTATATTTAGAGAATGTGTCTTTACAAGTTTATTTTGAATTAGAGCATTGACACATTTATTTTTTATAAAAAAAAGCAAAAATCCAGAATTTTGATGATTTGCATGCCTCAGTCTTTGCTCCCTGAGGGTGAGAAATATGCTGACCGGCTGGATTGATATGATCCAGAAGTTCAGCACTTTGTTGATTTTCAAAAGGAGTTGGATTTATGGATGGATAATAAAAGCTCATCAAATTCAAAATCTCTGAAAAACATGTTCAAACAGATGTAGCACTAACCCAATGGGGGAACAGAGGTGCAGCTTGTTCAAACAATGAAATGCGAGACCTGAAGGTAGTGTATCAGCGACTTTCAGCAAAGCATCTATAAGAGTACTTCTTCATCTGCCCGTGCACAAGCTGTAGCTGAGGCTGAGAGAGCCAGCGTAAAGACATGAGCCGTGCTTTACATGAGACACATGCCCTGGACTTGGACAAGGCTAAACTTACAGCAGCTCAATAAAAAAGACAAAGCTGAACATTCAAATAGAACTAGCTGCTTCCATGGCCAAATTAAACATGCTTGAGGAGTTTGAAACATCAGCTCCAGTTCCTAGGGATGGCATGAATGCATATCTGGACAATTCACAGAGAGGGCAGTCAAGAACATCTCAAATGTACGATCCTTCAGACTCGGAATCAGCTCATGTATTAAAGCATCCAAACCTCCAGCGACCCATGCAGGCAGTTCAACTCATTCAAGTGAAATCAGTGATCCCACACTGACCAGTGAAAAGACAAAAATATATTGCTAAAGAAATTTTGCAGCAACAAAAACTGTTCAAAGCAATGTACTGCATTACACTTCCTCCATTATAATGTTTGAACACAACATAGAGGACAAAGCTGAAAATAGCAAAGACAAACTGCACTCTTTAGAGCAATATACATCTAATATAAAAGGCTCTGTCTGTGTATGGCTCCTATGAAAGGACTCCTTGGGGCAAAACGTCTTCTAAAATAGCATATTGGTAATTAAGACAAAGTTGCCAATGAATATATTAAAGGGGTCGGTAACACTTAACACTAAAGTGGACTATCGAAATAAAGTGTAACCAAGGGGTCATATGATGTTGTCTGCCATCTGGTCAAAACCATGTCTGCATTTGTGATCGGAGAAATGACAAACAACAAGCGCTACTCTACACTGCCCAAAACTCGTGTTTGAATCATTGTGGGAGCGTGCGGTCTCGAGTTCGCTCGGCCGTGCACTCTTCTGCCAACGTGTGTTGTGTAGCACGCAGTTTGTGTTCAGCCGCGTGCTTTTCTTGTTGTCTTGTGTTGTTGTTGTTGCACGCAGCTCGTGCTTTTCATCTCCTGTTTTGTCTTGTGCTGTGGAGCATGCAGCTTGGTTTTTGCTGGCTGCGTGCTGTCTTGTCTTGTGTGAACACGAGGCTTGTGAGTTTTCTCATTAGCTGCATGTTCGTGTCTTGTTTTATTCAAGCACATGGCTTGTTATTGTTTTGCTGGCCATGTGCTTGTGTTTGTTTTGTGTGAGCACATGGCTTTTGTCTTTGTTTCCTGTGTGCCATGTGCTCTCATGTCAATTGTCTTGACCCCACCCATCTTGTTACCTGATTATTTGTTAATTTGCCCCACATGTGTTCCCTCGTTACCCTCCTCTTTTCCCCCCTTATTTATTGTCCTTGTGTTAGCAGTCCTGGGGCAGTTCATCGTCGAATGTTCCCTGTCGTGTGCCTTGTCCTGCCATCCAGTCAAGTTGCCAGCTGTTTTTTCCCCTACGGGGTAGTTTTTGTTTGTTTTGTTTTGTTTCTGCCTTTAATAAAGCCCTTATCTTCCTGCAATATTGAGTCCTCGCTCCGTCCTTCATCCCCAACCCTGACAATATGACCCCTTTAAAATATCGCATCATACTGGGCTGCTATTAAGCCAGAGGATGTTGTCGCTCTGCAAAACGATGCACAATTTTGAGAGCTTTTCTAAATTCTGTGAAAATACTTTTTTTTTTAAATATGCAAAAGGTGGACACATCCACTAACATCAGAGCTACTATCCATTAAGTTGTGCATGTGATTTGTCTGATGAGCAGAACAGAATTTGTCAAAAAAGCAGGCAAGAATAACTATCCTATACCCTATATAAATATCCAATAAATAATATAAATATCCCAGACAATGCGCAAAGACAAAAACTTCAAGTGAAAAAAAAGATGACTCAAAATGTCCACAAATAAAGAATTGCCACAACAGTTCAACAATTCCGTCTTATAATGTTTCATGTACTGTATAACTGCACTTCCTGAAGTTTATATGTAGGCCTAAAACAAAATCTCTGTTTCAATACTGCATATCAGGAGGATTTGAATGAATGACTGTATTTGAAAGAGGTTTAGCTTAATCAGATTGATGCTGATAGGAGTCAACACTCCCAAGACAGTGGAGCCCTAATGGTGCCCTAAGGCAATGGTGAAGAATCAGTAACTGTCATGGGCCCTAAGCAGTGAAGACTTTTCTGGGATCTGTGGTAAATGGACCACTTAACTGCTGTTATGGAGCCTGCCCCGTTCAGTAGGTCATGTGTAAAAGTACATTTCCATAGCTAAAATTGAGGATCTGGTAAGTGCAACAATACAATGTGGAAGACCATTGTCAAATGTCTATTGGAGATAAATGGTAGCAATGCAAAGAGCTCTCGTCCTTGTCAGAAGATTCGAGAAGGATCTCTCCTTCTTTCTATTATATTCTACAGGCCATATATTCTAAGGCCATTCTAGATTCATGGGAAAGGTCATCAAGGCCTTACTCTCTTTGGTGTTTCCCTGTGTTTTTGGCAGCAACCCTTTTGGCAGACATTGAAAAAGTCTGTAAGAATACTGGATAGTAATCCATCTTTTTGCAGCATCCAGTTCCTCTGGCAGTACAAGCTTTGCATTAATGAAAATCGTCACTGATAATGCAGGCAACTTACAAGATCTACTCAAGCACAAATACTCATGGGTTGATATTTTTTCCCAAAGATGGCAACACCGGTTGGATGATCTCCCTCACCTGTCAAATTTTAATAGCCAGAGATGCGTGCGGCCCAAGAACACTGATATCCAGCAAGTGCAGCTCCAGCATTTTTAGCATTCTTATGGCTTTGTAACAACTTGAGGGTGAGTAGATGATGACAGAATTTGTAATTTTGGCTAAACTTTCCCTCCTTTAAAAGGAAACTCTCGGAGGACAATACAAGCCTTACATTCAATACCCCCTCAGATGCATACCATGGCAGGCCAGGTTCATTGCGTCTGCATCAAAATAAAGACTACAGTTGAACATCCCATTAATAAATTACTGTATGTCTGCTATGCTAGGACATATATATATATCTATATGTGTGTGTGTGTATATATATATATATATATATATATATATATATATATATATATGTGTGTGTGTGTGTG